TTGATTGTTACAGTACAATCGTTCCGAGACGTATGAGCAGCTGCTCTGATGTCGAATGTAAAGTACGTTGCATTTACTCATGTTAAAATACAGCAACTTTTGGGTTGATCATAGATATACCGTATGTAGGTCACTCTGAAGCAGATGTTGGTCGTCGTTCATGTGGATCCTGCACCACATCTTGATACCGTCATCAAACTTTGGGAAGTTTGAAGCGATCCCTTGTGCAAGACCATTAATGAACACCAAAAACAAACGTGGACCTAGAATTAACCTCGGCACACCACACTCGATTTGTATGGGCTCCAATAAAGAGCTCCGAACTCTGACCACTAATCGCCCTTGAGGTATAAATTTGGCAATTTAGCTTAAAATTGGGTATTTGATCCCGTAACGCTGCAGCTTAGAGAGTAATATCCGCTAGTTTAAACGATCGATGGCCTTCGAAAAGTCCAGCTAGATCGCATCTAAGCCTTCGCCAGCGTCAGCTGACTCGGTCCAACTACTGCGTGCGATTAGCAAATTCGTTGTGCATGACCGCTATTGACGAACACCGTGTTTCTCAGGTGTGCTGATGTCATCGTTTTCTAGATAACACACCAGTGCATCGGCAACTATGGATTTCATGATCTTGGGGAGTATAGGAAGTAAAGATAGTGGGTGGTAGTTGAAGTCAGTGCTGCTTCCACCTTTGTGAATCGGGGTTATTATTGCTAGTTTCCACATAGAGGGAATCTGATTCTGGTCTAAGATGCGCTGGAAAAACTGAGCCAGTGGTCTACCAGTTGGCTTGCTGCTGCTTCCATTGCCTCTTGACGAATGATATCGACCACCGACGAACTGTGTTTGCTTAGAGATATCAGCTTTTCTAATACAGCCTCCGCGGTAAAACTGATGTGGGTTAGACCTGGCGGAGAGACGACAAAGGCTGAAAGATCGCTTGGTGGCGACACCCTCTGAAACGTGGGAGCATATTGCATCCGCATCGCGTTTGCTGTTTCCACAGCCGTTCATTTGGGTTATCGGCCGTTCTGAGTAGAGCAAGTTTTTGCCTCAGTTTTCTTAAGCTATTGACATGTTTGTACAGCAGGTTGGGGTTAGCACTGAACGTTTTTGCGATGTTCTGCTGATATGCGGCTTTGAATTCTCTTAGCAGTTGAGTGCAGTGGTTACGTTGGACTAGGTATTTGTCCCAAGTTTATGGTGCTGGAGCTTCTCTGTACACTCGTTATGCTGTGATGCGTACTGTCATCTATTTTGGAGTTCTTCTCCTTACGAAGGAAACTGAGTAACACCTATTGCAAACACTTACCTATGAACTCACTGCAATCAGCTGACTGAATTTGTTGACGAACTCGAGCCAGGCAACTTCCGGTGGTTCTTCGGCAAGGAACGGCCAAGTCGTAGCGCTGACATCTAGGCTAATGGATCGTAGCTCGTGATGGTTCGTACAGTTCCATCATGCACATTCCGATCTTCCGCATAGCAGACGAAGGTTAAACTGATCACTGCGTGATCATTGCGACCAAACGGATGGCCTAAAACCGACATATCAATCATATGCTCTTCGTTTGTAATCACAAGATCCAGCACAGACGGCCTGTTACCTGTTCTGAACCGAGTGCGAAAAGTATGTGATTTTAAAAAGAAACAGTGGTAACGAGTTCTTGTAGATCAATTTTGTATTGTTCTTCGATCGTGACAGGAGTTTCTACACAATGTACCTTGAAATCACTCACGATAGTATCTAGGTGTGTTTCGCTGTAAATTGCTTCTTACAGCAGCCGTTAGGCGGCAGTCGGTTTCGGGTGTTGAGTTAGGGGGCGATACACCAAGACAATAAGGCAAGCGTCTCTGCCTTTTAACTGCAAGCGGCACCGAAGGGAGTATGGGAACTGCGATTCTGAATCCTCTGCGGTTTCGCACTGTAGGTCGCTACGGAATATGGAATTATTCCTCCTTCTTACGAGCATATCGTTCCGGGGCAGCGACATACCCGGTAACGAAGCTTCAGCGTCCGTCATTCCCGTGTGCAACCACGTCTCAGTTATACCAATGATATCATACGACCCGGAAGCTCGGCGATCATTCAGTTCGGCCAGTTTATAAAAAGACCCTGAGCATTCGTATACAGGCAGGACAGTTGCTCGGTCTCCAGGAGTCCACAGTGGGCTAAGGAATCAAGTTTGGGAAAGTGCCGACAGATGGGAGGTCGGCAGTTACGCGTTTTTGCTGACGGGAGCAAGTGATCTCGTCTGAGGCTTTGTTCCGCCAAGGCGCCTCCCAATCCCAATTGGTAGGTTGAAATGCTTTTCAGCGACCGCAGAGTCTGTTTCAGTAGTTCTGCCAGCTGGGCAATGGTTGGCGGCATCCGGTTTCGAATTTGCCTGTCAATGTGGCCAGCCACAGGACGCCTGTGCCTACAGAGGGACCATGGGTGGTTTGCGATGCACCACCCACAGCTCCATCCATACACCCCATATCAAATGTAAACCAGAAGGAATAAGACCGGGAGGCATGCGGATGGGAGCCTTACGGACGGGTGCCACGTTTCATCACCGGAGACGGCCCACACCCCTTCATATGCAGAAAAAAGCACGCGGTATTTGGGGATCAATCGCACACAAGGCGGGGCTGGACCGTACTCCGCTCCACACTGAGTGAATGAAACCACTCTTCGAGTTTAGTACGACCACAAGGACCGTGCACCCCGTCCCCTCCAGCAACGACCAACTGTCTAGAACCCGTACGGACGAGGTAGTGAGTAATAGATAGGTAGGCACCTTGTCAGCATGCACATCAAGCGCAGCCAAACTGGGAATATCAAGCAACAGTCAATCAATTGAAATAACATTATCAAATAAAGTATAGCTGTTAAAGCATACGGCTATGCAGACATAACCCTTCGCTAAATTAGCATACGAAATACGTTGGTTAGCAATGATCCGCGATAATGGCAAAATGTCCACAAGGAATGCAAAAAATGTTACAAAAGCAATAAAGTTAACAAACATAACCATAATTAGCGTAAGCAACGAGTGCAAATAACTAGATTATTCGGGTAGATAGAACAAACAAACTAAAGTGGGATGAATTTTATCCAGGTTAAAAAGAACTAGTTTAAGTGTAATTTGGTTTAGGCCAACTGCGGTGGGGAAGCATCATGAATGCAACAGCAGCCTCAACACGGGTCACTAGCTGAGGACTACGGTTTTATGTACCTACATACTGTCACTGTAGATAATTGTGTACCTAGACACACATACGCAAATGTGCTACTAACCTGTTGTAGATCGTGTGTACTGAACATTGCCGCGCGTTTAGACTAAAAAGCAAGCCACTTTAAACCGAACGTCACCCAAATTGGACTGACGGGGCCCCTTCTTCGCAAAAGGTCTTCAAGGTGTGTTCTCTGCATGATGGGCTCTATTGGTAGACCCGCGCGCTGACCAAGCTAACTGGTCTATGCAGGTGTCACGTATGCATACAGTTATTCGATTAATCCTTAGAAAGAGACACGCACTTGTTGTGGTTACAGTTCTCAGAAAGTCCTCTATAATCCGACGGGCGTTTGTCCCAAGCTGTTCTCACTTCCGCCAACTTTCTTAGGCTTGAGGTCCAACAAAAGTGTGGTTTTTTCAAATGAAAGACGATATCAGCATCTTACACTTATACAGACAAGTTTACTTTCATTTAAACCAGGTAATCAAAGTGTGCGAGCTACGAAGTTCAGATGTTTGCATAGGTCAGGAAGTCCTGCACTCGGATCTGGTCCAGTTTTTTTAGAACGTGTCAAAGGGCTCCTTTGAATACCTATCAATGCACACATGATGCGAAGTAGGCATTCTCTTATTTTCGTAGTTGAATGCAATGAACAACTACTTTACACCGGTTAAGAAGCACTGATTTGCAAGGTCCGTTAGGTGATCGAGTAGGTTATGGAAAAACGCAAATTAAAAGACAGTTAGTAGTTTTATTGTCAACATAATGGAGTTAACTTTTTCAATGCCGTTACCCTACTCTCAGTGTATCCATACTCCGGTGAAACTCCATAAATTCGGCAGGAATCCAAAAGGCACAGAACAAAATAAGACATTTTGATAGATCATTGAGCTGGTTCAGTCGTCCTTTTCTCAATGCAGATCATAAAGGTTGAAAATCTACTTTCTCTAGCGTTGCTTGTGCGCTAAGGCTCTCTTGATAAACAAGAGGACATGTTTACATTTGAAACCGCCAGAAATTTAGCAGCGATCGTTTGAGTTGTGCGAAAACTGACACAAGTCCCCACAACTATCCCAGGTCCAAACATTTTAGTTGAACAACCTAACGTCACCACAGAGTTCTTCTGACGTTTACATCAACGAGCTTGCAATTTCCCAGGGGCGGTTTATTGCAACACTGGATGTTTGGATACGGCTTGATTGGCTCGTCCTGAAGCATCACGACCTTCAGTTGGAACTGTCCCACGTTTCTATGTAACCTGTCGTAGAATTGATGGTCGGTTCATTCAGATGCTTAGTTATCACTACCAGAATACGGTTTTATGGAGCAGCCGTGATCCACACTAAATAGCAGAAAAGTGCCGAACCTAATTCCTGCGCTATAGCCACTATACATTCTTTTGAAGAGTAACGATCTACGGATTCTGTCCCCAAGCAGCGATCGGCGCAAAATGCAATAAGCGCTTTAGAGATGGAGGAATGTTTCAAACAAATCTATTGAAGTAAACGATTATTGTGTTAATGTGATCCTGAATGGCAGATATTGTATGAAACAGCCGTTTGTACCACATACTCACTTGAGGTTATTGCGAAAACACGGAAAGCACATCAAATGGGTTTCATTTATGTTTACTTTCCGCGGTAACTCGTGCCGTCGTATCCGTTTACTTTGGGATGCAGTGAGCGAATGACTAGCAAATACCAACGCGTAACCTAGTGTAGTCTGACTAAGCACAAATCACATGGACGTTGAAAAACTGCATGCAGACTTTGGCTTACTCAAAGCAATGCTTGGCGGTTAATATCCAGTATGGACTGATCAATGCTCCACCGCATGTATGTCCCTCTAACTTCTCCGGTGGTCGAATATTGAAGGTATCATCGATTCCGTTTTGCTCCTGATACTCTTCTGGGGACATCTCTTTGAGACGCAGCTTCAGCTGCGTCAACGCATATTGCAGTTTCTCCAGCGACTCGTAGTCATTAATGTCGATTTTATCCAGGTCAAACAAATCATCTGGTATACGTTTGGTAACTTGATTCTAGGGAAATAGGAATATAATGCATGGGGAGTCATAGCTGGTGGAACGTGAAAATGGTAATCAGACGAACTTCTGCTAGTTGCAATTTCATACAAGTAAGCTCAATGTTCAATGGTTCAATGGTGTATGATGGGATAAAAAGCATAACTTTACAAGACCCACAGGATGGATATGCAAAAGAAAATTAAAATCAAAATGTTCCAACGTGGAACGTAAAGTATCAGTGGTTAAATTTTTGCACTTTAGCAGTGTTGTGTATCGTTTATCACTAAGATGAAAATCTAAGAGTCTTTCGAATGTCGTCATGTCTGGTGCGTTCACCACCTAGTTTGGTAATGCATTCCACTGAGAACAGATTCTAAGTGATAAAAAATACTTTCTACAATTCAAACGAGTGTTGCGTCATTAGTTTCAGGTGGTTGCCTCGGTTTTGTTTGTATGGGGCTAGAGTCAACAGTGATGTACATTGATACTGGCTTTCGGTTAGTATCCGTTATGAGAGCAAGATCTCCGCGAAGCCGTCGGTATTCTAATGAGAATACACCGAGTACACGGAGACGCATTTCGTAACTTATACCGGATAGTCCACGCGTTGCCTTTGTGGCTCTTCTTTGCGGCTGTTCCAATAGGCGGACGTCTCGTTTTAACCATGGACACCAGGCCTGAATCGCATATTCAACATGAGGACGAATGTAGGAGTTAATCAACAATGGTACTAGCCGCCGCTCAAAAGTGCCGAGAGCTCGCCTCCAAAGTCGCAAGTTAAAATTCGCCACACTTGCTGCTTTCGAACATTGGAGCGAATTTCCAAGACTCTCTTGCACGATTATACCTAAGTCGCGTTCACTAGTCACGTGTTGCATGACGTGCTGCCCCAAAGGGTATGTGTTGACGAAGCTGTTGTGCACCGTCAGCAGGTGGCACTTTGCAGGGTTCAGTGGGAGCTGGTTCTTTTCTGTCCATTCGTTAATCCGGGTCAGATATTCCTGGAGTTAGACACGGTCGGATACTGAGCGTATTGCTCTCCCTATTTTAGCATCGTCTGCAAATATTTGCATTGGAGATAGAATGTCTGCTGGAAGGTCATTAATACAGACTAAAAACAGTAGCGGACCGAGGACGGATCCTTGTGGTACACCACTGGAGACGTAAAGGCTTTCAGAATAGGTGTCGGCTACTCTTACCTTGATTGCTCTGTTGTGTAAGTAGTCTTCCAACCAGGTGAGCATGGAACGGTTGATACCGTAGGCAGCAAGCTTTTGGAGGAGAAAGAAGTGATTGACCCAGTCGAATGCTTTAGAAAAATCCAGGTATATCACATCTATGGGCACTCCTTCATCAGCCGCCCTGGTCCATAAGTCCCGAGTAAGCAGCAAATTGGTGAGACAAGATCGTCTGCGTCGGAAACGATATTGGGCATTAGAAATTATCTGTTGACTTTCAAAGTATCGCGTCAGTTCATCTGCGATTACCGATTCCATCACTTTTGATAAAACAGGAAGGAGAGTAATAGGTCGGTAGTTAGCAGGATCCCAGCGCTTACCTCCTTTATATATTGGAGTGATAATTCCATGTCTCCATTCAGATGGGAGTGTATGGGAGTTATGCAGACCCTGGAAAAAGGTTGCAAGTGGTGCTGCTATGGTGGGAGCAAGCGTTTTTAGTACTTTTGGGCAGATCATGTCGATTCCAGGGGCACTGTACCTCCGGAGAGGCTGTAGTTTGCTTGCAACAGCTGCTGGAGTAAAGGTGACGCTAGATAAGCTAACGACATTGGTTGAGAGTTGATAGGGCGAAGGTTCCATGACATTTGTAGCTACCTAGCCAAACTGCAAGATTAGAGTGTTCGCGGCATCCACAGCAGTAGTTGTTAGGCCACTGGTCGTCCTGAGTGGTGGTATTCCGGGCTTAACCTTTCTTTCACCATTCACAAATCTGTATAGCAGTTTGGTGTTACTCGTAAAGTTCAGCACCATATTCTCCTGCCATTCTTACTTATCGACTCTAATGAGTGAGGTGCAGTGGTTTCTGATGACTTTGTAATCCTGCCATGTGATATCACATGGGCTTAGCAAATGTTGCCTCCAGATTTCATCTCTTCTGTTGACCCATTTCCGTGTTCTGCTCCGGATTCACGTATTGGTCCGGCGCGACGCTCGTAATGGTACGACCTTCGATGCTGATTGTATGACCCAGTTAATTTTGTCTTTCAATTCATCCCACGCGTCATTCGCTGAGCTGTGCGTCTGTAGGTCCAAGTCAACCGTTGCTGCTAAGCTGCGCAGCTTATAATAGTCCGTAATAGTTCACTGAGTCTCTCTTTCTTTAGCAACAATACTGGCATAACATACATAACCAAATGTTAGGACTGAATGGTCACTACGGCCCAGTGAAGGATCGTATGCTACTGACTCAAGCATCAACTCTCCATTAGTCAGGAGTAAGTCCAGGAGTGATGGCTTGTTAGAACCGCGATGTCTGGTTGGTCGATACACACGGTTATACAAAACTGCCATATCCATGAATTCGAGAAGTTTCGATTTAAATGATGGCCCATTAGGGGACATTGATGCTATTGAAGGAACATTAAAGTCACCCATTATTAGTGAGAGTACTTTTGTGAAACAGCATAGCGGAGGGCGTTTAACAGAATGTTATCGCTGTCTGCTGATGAGTTCGGAGGTCTGTAGATGACGGCTAAGAGGCAAGCATCACTCTTCTTCTGTGAACCAACATCTGGACCTGCTAGGTGCAGTCGGCAAAATGGTGCGTCGGGAATAACAAGGGAATTTTCGGTAAGAGCCCCACATTTCAAATAATCTCGATAGTAGAGAGCAACACCGTCACCGCGAAATGGACGATCATTTTGTATGACTGACATCTCCCTGAGTTCAATCTCTGGATCAAGTATGTCGTTTGAGAGCCAAGTTTCAGTAACTGCTATGAGGTCCCAAGTTGTTGTTTCATGTCGATGGTGCAGCTCCGAGAGCTTAGAGTACAACCCATGAGTGTTGGTGTAGCAGCATTGTATTTGTTGACGCATCAGGAGCTCGGTTCGGTGTGAGTGACCGGCACAAATAGTGCCGGTCTGCTGAAGTTTTTTGAGACGTTTGTTTGCCCAGTTGGCTGGTTTGAGATAGGTACAATTGAGGCTGGCTCATCTGTATCTGAGATCTGTACTAATTGAAGGAATGGTCTTAACCGTATTTCTGGTGGCCCAAGTTTCCTGTTGTCATGCCATGCTTGGATTGCCACTGATACCATTTCGGGCGCAGCCGAGGTAACTTTCAAAATTCGTGGCCCGCTACCTTGGTGGTTTGTGGAAGCAATTAGACGGTTGACGTCAAAAGCCACGACATGCTTCATGTCGTATAGTTCTGCGATGTACCGCCATTCTTCGATGTCATGCTTCTGTCGTTCACTGTTATCGTCATGCTTCAATTCTGGCACACCATGAATCAGTACCACTTTCTTCATCTCATTTTGACGTGACGAACTAGGGTTGGATTTTCGCTTCTGTCTTTCTGCCCATGGCCTGTCAAGAAAAATGCGGGCACTGACAGAAGAGTTCACTATCATGTGGCTTGTTAAGAGAACATCTTCCAGGTCGCGCGTGTTACCAAACGTTACTCGCAGTAACCCAGGTTCCCCTAAGTGCGGAGATGATGGATTTCGTGAAAGGCGAGTAAGACTAGTTGGGAGAACTTTCAGTCCGAGTGCACAGGTTATTACAGCACATCGGTTTGCTCCTCGGCTTGTCTACCTTTTAGCGATTCGCTAGTGGGTTATGGGACGTTTGAACATATTACTGTCATCGTCTTTTGGTTGTGTAGTAATTGTTTGTTCTGCAGTTTCTTATGAGCGTAGGTTTGTCGAGTGGGGGTGTCCGGCTTGTCTTCCTTGAACGATAGGTCAAGGCTACAGCAAGAATTTTTACGTGCAACGCCATTAGTTGCACTATCTGTAGGGGTCAGTTGTTGGTGTCCAGCTACTGACCGAGGTGATCGTGCGATTTGTGCGTAACTCTGCATACTTTTACGCATTAGATGAGACTTGGGGTACCGTTCAAGCGGCCTGTTTTCACTGTTGTTTTTCACTAACGGTGTTTGTCTTTTGCTGGACTGGGTAGCACTGTTGCTAGAGAGTTTTTGCCTTTTAACAGGTCGGGTATTCGGGCTACGTAATGCACTAATCTGCAACTCCAGTTCTGAGATTTTCCCTCCCAATGCCGCGAGCAGTTCCTTTTGGTCTGCAGACGTAACGTCAGAGTTTGAACAATCTTACTTATCGGACTATCTGAACATATGTCACAAAACCATAAGCTGTCTGTCGATACGCTCTTAACTCCGTTAAGTGTAATGTTCACATTTGTCGCGTCATTTGAATTGGCACAGAACGAACACGCGATCTTCGAGCGGATTTCAGTTCCCTGCTTGTCTGAGCTACGGTTGACCTTAGGTTTGTTGCTCACTGGATTCCCGATTGACAAACTTCTCCGGCCCATAGATCAATGGTCGGTATGCACTTTTAGGTTGCGCTGGTCAGGCCGTTTGGGATGCCTCAGTTGTCTGCTCCGGTCAGCGGGTTTGGTGGTGGTGCATCCCTAGGCGCACGAGTGGGCAAAATCACACAGGCTTTGTGCAGTGATATGCAGGTAAAAATATGGTGGTAAGGTGAGATGACAAAAGTGCTTGTATCTACGGTATACCCTGGTGCACAGTACTTATATATTGTCTGACAGCCTTAAAGAAGATCTGTCGAATGGTATCCCAAAGGTACTGATGAAACTCAAAGAAGCAGTTACACAAGTTGACCTTAGTGAATAGACTTCCGAAGACTTTGCTTGTGGTGTACCAGCGCGTCGTTGGAGTTACTTCAAAAATGTAGACGCCGTTGGATAGAGCTCAGTGATCCGAATCGATTGAGCGTACTTCCGAAGACGTGGCACAAGAATGTGAAGAGATACGTCCAAGTTAACGCAGAGCACAGGATTGCACGAATTGCACGCACACGCTGACAAGGTCAGTACAATTTGGTCCGCACCAATTTGTGGGCAGTGCCACACAGCTCCACGCAGCAAGTAAAGTGTCTAAGTGGAGTATTACAAATCTTTCACGATCCAAATTCCGGCAACTAACTGAGTGCCCATATCAATTCAGAATAGACCATCATATCTGTGTTTCTGATTAGTGCATTTAGCTTCAGCTCGGAGACAGCGCACTTATAGGCAGCAAAATGTCCAGAATCGACTCTTGGATCAAGGTTGTGGTGACAATTTCATCTGGTTACATGCGAAGATTAGTTGAGTTGATGGATGAAAAAATTTATTACCTTAACGCACTCATGTGCCTTCCTTCATAGTACTAAACTCAAGTGCCTGGGTTTTAAATCATATCATGTTGTAAACCCGTAGCCAATTGTCATAAACAGTTGTCAATATCCATTTTAGTTTGACACACCGTGTGGTAACTTGGTAACCTGGATTTCTCTAATTATGCGGTAATCGTATGGGATAACAGTGCATAGGAGCACCCGAGATTCAAGGTAATCCGGTTAGTAGATTTCGGCTCCTACTCGATGAAGTGTTGCAGGCTTAAAACTGGTGCTCTCATAAAGTGGCGTTCTTCAGCTGGCCATCAATACGTGGTACATTGAAAAGGCAATTAGTCAAGGTTATCTCCGGAGTAATTGCCGGGTCACGGCAGAAGGGCAAAATGTTTCATTAAACTGGCTTCGCAATAAACATATACTGTATAACCAGTAGTTTAACCTGAAGAAAACGCTGGTTCAACATGATGTTCATTGCACAAGGGGCTATGACTTGGGAGTATACTTTTCCCGAGAAATAATAGTCATATTTCTATAACTTAATGGTGAATATCAAATCTTATTTTCTTTTTAGTTTGGTAAACTAACCTGTGCGAATTTTAATCCGAAGACATGAATTAGATGACGCACGGGGAGTCTGGGGATGTGCGCTTGCTTCACACCCATACTAATCACGACAGCATAAAACTCTGAGCCAAATTCCAATTAATGCTGATCTACGGGACGCAGCCGAATTGGCAATAAACATCACAATACCTTGCATGTTGTCTGACTGTGTCTGCTCGCAACAGCTTCGAAAAAAGAGCAGCATTTTTAAACTGTTTTAACAGCTCGCAACTGGAATTCTCCCATTTCCCACTGGTTCTCTAAAGCAAGATGTTAGCAGTCACTGTCATGATCAATTAGCTGGGTGCCATGGAATTGCCACCGCACTACAATTGACAGTCGCGTGTACACAGGGGACGACCGACTCACCCTCTTCCACACTGGATGTCTGATTTTTCAATTGAAATATTCTCTACTCCATTCCATGTCGTGAAGTAGACAAAATTAAGTACCATGCGGTAAGCTGTGCATGTACTGTGAAAAACATTACATACTACAGCTTGAAGAGGACAGATGTTTTTGGGGCGTTGTGAACACTATTCGATAAATTCGATGTTTTTACATTCACGCTTAATCATGCTGCGCACGTTCCGATGGAGCTGTCTCACCTTCAGAAGATTGCCGTGCACGCTGTTTAGTTTCCATCTAAAGCAAATGAAATGCAAATGCAACTTGTGCTACCGGATCAAGTATCTTGTTAAATGGGGCACAGTTCTCGGTAAAAGAAGTTGCCACTGAGACATCTACTAGAACTTTGTAACCACGGTCTTTATCGGTCATCAGTCAAAAGTGTTTGCCTAAAATTTGCACTTAGCCGCCAGATAAAGTAGTTAAATTATCTTTTAATCCAAATTTTTAAGAGCATTTAGTCATATATTCTTCAAAGTACTAGTGGGCATAGTACAACAGTTTCTTGGTATACAATACAGTTGCTGACATTGCAAAGGACGCCTACTGTGCGGTCATGAGCGATGACCTAAAAATCCTGGTTACCAAACTTACCCTCGACACCGGTTTGAGCTGAAGTGACACCAACCACGGCCATTCCGCCTTTCGAGAGATTTCACCACCGACAACTCTCTTCAAGACACTTCGCCAGCCAAAATATCGACCATCGTAACGATTACGGCCACAATGAGAACGGATGGCTGCAATAAAAGAAAACGGTTGCAACTCTTCAAGTAGTGCTTCACATTTATAGCAGTTTATACTCACTGTCAATTCCATGGACAAAATACACCGCGTTCATATCCTCTGACATGCATCAGAGTGAATTGTTGCAAAATGGCTAGTCACGCGAACAACCATTAACCCAGTTGGACAAAACGCGCCGTGGTTTCATATCCACAGTGCGCTCACGATACAATAAATACAAGCGAGAAGGAATTTCTACCGTTGCAAAGTTAGATAGTGTAGTTGCTGCACATCTTTACAACTATATGGCTCTCTTCTCTTGAGCTGCCATAATCATATAGCACAACTATTTAGAAACAACTTATTGGAGGGGTGATTTTGATGCGCTTACTGTGGGAATGCATTGCGAAAGGCAGTTTTACTCTTGACCCTAATTCTCTTTGAAGTGGACCTTGATCGATTCGATCACGGTCACCGATTCTGCCCCATAGCCGAACTATACTTTGTTGGAAAACAACACTTAAACTATTGTAAATTAGGAACCTATAGGGATCATCTGGAGGAAGTAATATAGCTTATTTGACAAAGTCAGAGACCCGTTTATGGCGTACGAGATGGCTCTTTTCTAAAAACAAGAAATCTAAAATTTTTGTTGGGCTTTCCGTTGGCGTTTTCCGTAGCCGTCGCTAGAACGAGCTGAAAACATTTATCTAACCCAAGGCTCTGTATCTTAAAAGCGCTGCCTATGTGATTGTTTCTCATTTGTTCTCCATGAGTAGAATGTTTGAATTCATGTAGTAATTCTTTAGATGCAATATATACTTAGACGTTCCCAACAAATTGGTAGTGTTCTTACTGCACGATATATCTCACTACTTCGACTAGACAAACTAATTGATGCTATTTGCTTCATAGCAATTAGATTACATGGGGCAAATGTGAGGTACCAATTCAGAAAAGCCCCAGACAATGGTTTCGTCCTAATGGGGCTCGTCGCTGGCATGCGTTTCCTCAGCCTCCTGATTGGGACCGAACCCATGTCCGCTAACGGCTTGCACCACTAGGCGCAAATTATGCCACTGGGCCATGGAGAAAGATAGCCAAACATCATGAATTGAAATATAAATGCGATATAGTTCTACCCATCCTCCCCTGTTGTGTAGATTTCAGCCCGTGCAGGGGAGAGTGGTTCGTCATCTGTGTCAGGACTTCCCTTACCAGCAGCCGTGAATCAGTACAGCATTTTGTTGACTGGTAAGGCTTGGTTTTTGCTTAATCATGAGCAGACATACATAGGTATGCTTTTCTTTGGCTCATCTCAATTAGATTAAAAAGCGCAAAGATGACGTAAGACCATGAAAAGCACCAGCCGATCCTTTCGCCCTATTGGGCCTCGTTACTGATGCACAATCCCTCGGTCCCCGGCTTGGGATCGAACCCATGACCGCTAGTGGCTTGCACCACTGTTTAACATCACAACTGATTACCCTTCCTGAAATTTTTACTGCGAAGATAAATTATAGACATAAGTACGCAAGCAACTGCTATTGGCATTCGAGAAGCCGCTATTTATGGAAACAGGGTGTAAAAGCTAAAATTCAGCTGGAGGCCAAGGTAAGCTGATATCCTGACGGTATATAAACTTCGAACTTCAGACAATTGTTGGAAAGCCTGGGTGCTGAGTGACGGTGTTTGGGTGTTTGGATTGGTGGGTCAGACTATGGTCTCACTAGGTACAAGTGCCACTTTACGCTTAATCGGGGATTCGATATTTCAACCCAAGCACTAACGGCTTTATGATCGAGACCCAACTTTAGTCAAGGAAATCGTACATTTGCAACATTCCGCAACATCCATCGTGTGCCTTGCAATCACAACAACTGAAACGGGCTGGTTGGTGACTGTGATCAGTTAAATAACGACGTGTCTCACCGTGTGCGAGAATAAAGAATTTATTCAGTTATGTATGAATGGTGACCCAGGAAGTTATAGTATTAATTGAGATCAGTAGTAGCTCTGGGTGTGGATGAAGGATTTAAGCTGTTCTCGGAACTGAACGTTTCGGTTGCCGACGTTTCGTCACGAGCATAGGAAACGTTACTAGCCTAACTACTCGAGAAGCTAATCTTCAATCGACCGCCGTGTCAACTCAGAGAGTTCTGTGTTGATAGGGTGGGTTACTTCCTACGTTTGGTCTTATTGACTGGGTCAGTTGCTCAGATCTTTACAGATAAATTAGTGGATCACGTAAACCTGGGTGCCATGTAGAAATACATCAGTCTGTAGTCAGTTAGAAAAGCACCGCGCGACCCAAAGTAATCGGTTCTGTGGAGATAATGACGCAAAACGAGGTCAATAAATAGTCTTAATCGTTCTTAACACAAAACCCCACAAATTGGTGGGGAAGAAAGTGCCAGTGAAACAAAGGGAGGTGCTTGTATTATCAGCGAAGAAAGTGAAGAGAGGCAAAGAATGTGCCCATGATCAGGGATCCTGTGACTAGTCAGACGCTTTAGAAAGGCGGTTGTGCGTACTCAAGTCTGCTTGCTTCCTAGCTATGCACAGGAATTGGCTGATCTGTCCCAGCAATTATGCTTACAGCATAATGGAAGCGCAGTCACACAGCTGCAACAAAACTCTACAAACCCCACAACAATGTGCCTAATCTGAGCTTTACCAGGTCACCAACATTTCCCGCTTCTTCGCACCATTACTGGTGGTGATAGTTTTCACCCATGCTATCTGCACGAATCTATTTCGTTACACAATGGAAGTTACTACCTCGCTACGCCTGCGTGACAGCCAACTTGTGTTGCTCCTCGGAAGTTGATAAGTCATGCTACGATTGGTGCGGACGCCAACTCCCTACCCTTTCCTTTGTCTCCTAAGCGGTCTTTTGGAAAAGCGTGAGGCCCAACTCGTCACTGGTTACAGGTAACCGAATATCAGTCGGTTACTCGGGCGAGGCATGCTGCGTGAGTTCGACTTCCATGGACTTAAGAAGACGCTATCTCGGGGAATGAAATCAAGTGTTTAGGTAATTTCACCTGCTCCTATGTGGTGCAAATAGTCGGAAAAAGTAAACCGAGCAATATAAGCTATAGTTCAGGATTGAGCGATGATCGTACGCCGCAACCGCAACGACCAGGCCCCGCATTTTGCACTCATCCTAGTACTATACGTTGTTTCAGCCAATTGCACCTACAGTGTTATCAGATTCTTCTTTAAGAAATTCCGATTCCTCCATCAAGCTCTCAAAATGATCAGTGGTCAGTGGAATAATGCGGAGACAAAAGCCAAAGCTTGACATGTCCCGCCGGATGATCGGTTAGGGGTAAGTAAAATGAAGGCAAAAATATCAATAGGAAATAGTGAACAACCGTAAATTGAGAACTTCCCGTTACATCGTTCCCGTCTGAGCAGTTCTCACTTGGTTTTATGTATTGGCATCTGTGATTTCCAGGCAAAAATGTAGGTAGATTAATTTGTTTTATTATCTGCTGTTTGTGTGCGTCGTTTGGATTACTTGAATTGTCCTTAACGCTAGCAAGTTGCATGCAATGGGCAAAAATGCCCCTTAAAATGCTAGTGTTTGTTGAGTGACTAAGCCCGCATAAGCCAACAGTTTAACAGATGAGCACAGAGTGGGATATGATTGACTGATTTGAGACTGCTCATCCAGTGTACAGTGGCGTTTAGAGGCGTTCGCACCCATTGGATGAAATTTAAAAGCGTTAAGGACCATCTTGAGAGATAAATGGAAGAACACGATTTCCTTAGGGGGGAATTTGAAAGCGTAATGGATGCAATTGATCTAGAAAAGGGATAGTGCGACGAGATGCTCTAAAGTTTCTACGCACAGCGTACAGGCACGAAAGGACACGTGAGTGGCGGCAAGCTTGTGTACCGCTCAGCACTTTGACGATACCGGTCTTGTCTTCGTCGACATATGATTTATAAACGAAACCATCGGGTCAGTGACTAAGTTCTTTGTTACTTGTATGTGCTTAGTAAAAAATAACCAGTGGGTTTATGCTGCCTGGACTATCTAGCTAACATAAACCGAAGGATAATGCACTACCAATACTGATGTAGCTGCATGGTTTTGTTACGATTCCAGCGCTTGTTTAGCATCTTCTGTGAACTAAACCGGTTCAATGTGGGACTATTTAGAGGTAATCCCTAGGGAGCTGGTGGAATGCAGTTTATTGTTCGCGTTTAGTTCATGGGTTACTTGTTAACCTTTAGAGACTACAAAGAAACATAACGGCAGTGTGCATAGAGTCAGTGTTGCATTGATACAAACGTGCTCCCAACTCGCAAACGGTCCTGTGATAGTCCATCGAGTTTACGTCAACAGTTTTGTGACTGAGTTGCAGCTGCTTCCCAACCATTTTTGAAACCCGGTAAGCGACCGGTGACATTTAAAACATGGTTGTGAAGTGCCACGCTCCACGAACTTTCTCGTTAGAACACATTGTGGTGCTATAGCTCAATGTTGTGACTACTAAGTGTTGCTATCGCGACCTCCACCTACAGGCCGCATATATTTTGCTGGTCGATAAACCGACGCGTAAGGTGTTTTTTCTAACAACCATTAGGTCCCTTGGTTAATGTGGGATTGGAAGCGTCGCGTTAACCTAAAGGGTCGATGGGCTGCCGATTGTGGCCGCTGTTAGAATGATTCGTTTTTATCCCTGCGTTCTGCTAATCCCATAAACCACACATCGCTAGATTTTTGCAAAATCGACTCACAACTGAATTATAACACTGCTTATAGCGATCCCCACTAATAATTCGGCGTTTCGCACTGGCATTTAGGCTACCTCGCTACATGCAGTTAACCGATGGGGAGTCGGGTTTAAATCTTTGAAAACTAGGTCAGGATCTTAGGCTCCATTTACATCGAGTGTTCTACTCTGTACTCCACAATCATGAATACAGACTGAGTAATGTTCCTTTGAGCCTGAGATGTGTGCCCGAATTCCACAACCAGTTGATGACGACTACTCAG